GTTCTGCAGCAGTCTGCAGAATTCTTTGCAGAATTGCCTGCAATCAGGTTGCAAGTGAAATCACCCACTTCTACTTGGGCTAATGATCTGATTTTCATAGGGGACCCTCATCACACCTATTACATAATACCCTTTGAAAATCAACTCATTTGCCCAAGGTTTGCTATGGTTTTGGAGCATTGTTCTGCAGCAGTCTGCAGAATTCTGTGCAGAATTGCCTGCAATCAGGTTGCAAGTGAAATCACCCTCTTCTACTTGGGCAAATGATCTGATTTTCATAGGGGACCCTCATCACACCTATTCCAGACTACCCTATGAAAATCAACTCATTTGCCCAATGTTTGCTATGGTTTTAGAGCATTGTTCTGCAGCAGTCTGCAGAATTCTGTGCAGAATTGCCTGCAATCAGGTTGCAAGTGAAATCACCCTCTTCTACTTGGGCAAATGATCTGATTTTCATAGGGGACCCTCATCACACCTATTAAATAATACCCTTTGAAAATCAACTCATTTGCCCAAGGTTTGCTATGGTTTTGGAGCATTGTTCTGCAGCAGTCTGCAGAATTCTGTGCAGAATTGCCTGCAATCAGGTTGCAAGTGAAATCACCCTCTTCTACTTAGGCAAATGATCTGATTTTCATAGGGGACCCTCATCACACCTATTCCAGACTACCCTATAAAAATCAACTCATTTTCCCAATGTTTGCTATGGTTTCGGAGCATTGTTCTGCAGCAGCCTGGGTTATTCTGTGCAGAATTGCCTGCAATCAGGTTGCAAGTGAAATCACCCTCTTCTACTTAGGCAAATGATCTGATTTTCATAGGGGACCCTCATCACACCTATTACAGACTAACCTATGAAAATCAACTCATTTACTCAAGGTTTGCTATGGTTTTGGAGCATTTTTCTGCAGCAGTCTGCAGAATTCTGTGCAGAATTGCCTGCAATCAGGTTGCAAGTGAAATCACCCTCTTCTGCTTAGGCAAATGATCTGATTTTCATAGGGGACCCTCATCACACCTATTCCAGACTACCCTATGAAAATCAACTCATTTGCCCAATGTTTGCTATGGTTTTGGAGCATTGTTCTGCAGCAGTCTGCAGAATTCTGTGCAGAATTGCCTGCAATCAGGTTGCAAGTGAAATCACCCACTTCTACTTGGGCTAATGATCTGATTTTCATAGGGGACCCTCATCACACCTATTACATAATACCCTTTGAAAATCAACTCATTTGCCCAAGGTTTGCTATGGTTTTGGAGCATTGTTCTGCAGCAGTCTGCAGAATTCTGTGCAGAATTGCCTGCAATCAGGTTGCAAGTGAAATCACCCTCTTCTACTTGGGCAAATGATCTGATTTTCATAGGGGACCCTCATCACACCTATTCCAGACTACCCTATGAAAATCAACTCATTTGCCCAATGTTTGCTATGGTTTTGGAGCATTGTTCTGCAGCAGTCTGCAGAATTCTGTGCAGAATTGCCTGCAATCAGGTTGCAAGTGAAATCACCCACTTCTACTTGGGCTAATGATCTGATTTTCATATGGGACCCTCATCACACCTATTACATAATACCCTTTGAAAATCAACTCATTTGCCCAAGGTTTGCTATGGTTTTGGAGCATTGTTCTGCAGCAGTCTGCAGAATTCTGTGCAGAATTGCCTGCAATCAGGTTGCAAGTGAAATCACCCTCTTCTACTTGGGCAAATGATCTGATTTTCATAGGGGACCCTCATCACACCTATTCCAGACTACCCTATGAAAAACAACTCATTTGCCCAAGGTTTGCTTTGGTTTTGGAGCATTGTTCTGCAGCAGTCTGCAGAATTCTGTGCAGAATTGCCTGCAATCAGGTTGCAAGTAAAATCACCCTTTTCTACTTGGGAAAATGATCTGATTTTCATAGGGGACCCTCATCACACCTATTACATAATACCCTTTGAAAATCAACTCATTTACCCAAGGTTTGCTATGGTTTTGGAGCATTGTTCTGCAGCAGTCTGCAGAATTCTGTGCAGAATTGCCTGTAATCAGGTTGCAAGTAAAATCACCCACTTCTACTTGGGCAAATGATCTGATTTTCAGAGGGGACCCTCATCACACCTATTTCAGACTACCCTATCAACATCAACTCATTTGCCCAAGGTTTGCTATGGTTTTGGAGCATTGTTCTGCAGCAGTCTGGGTTATTCTGTGCAGAAGTGCCTGTAATCAGTTTGCAAGTAAAATCACCCACTTCTTCTTGGGCAAATGATCGGATTTTCATAGGGGACCCTTGTCACACCTAGTCCAGACTACCCTATGAAAATCAACTCATTTGCCCAAGGTTTGCTATGGTTTTGGAGCATTGTTCTGCAGCAGTCTGGGTTATTCTGTGCAGAAGTGCCTGTAATCAGGTTGCAAGTGAAATCACCCACTTCTACTTGGGCAAATGATCTGATTTTCATAGGGGATCCTCATCACACCTATTCCATAATACCCTATGAAGATCAACTCATTTACCCAAGGTTTGCTATGGCTTTGGAGCATTGTTCTGCAGCAGTCTGGGTTATTCTGTGCAGAAGTGCCTGTAATCAGGTTGCAAGTGAAATCACCCACTTCTACTTAGGCAAATGATCTGATTTTCATAGGGGACCCTCGTCACACCTATTCCAGACTACCCTATGAAAATCAACTCATTTGCCCAAGGTTTGCTATGGTTTTGGAGCATTGTTCTGCAGCAGTCTGGGTTATTCTGTGCAGAATTGCCTGCAATCAGGTTGCAAGTGAAATCGCCCACTTCTACTTGGGCAAATGATCTGATTTTCATGGGGGACCCTCATCACACCTATTCCAGACTAGCCTGTGAAATTCACCTCATTTTGTAGAGGTTTGATATGTTTGTCATGCTTTTTTCTGCAGGCGGGAGCAGATCGCTTTGCTGAAATGTACAACATTTGATTTGTATTTAAATGTCATTGTTATACGGGTGCTATAGAGCCCTTATTGATAGGGCACTCATCTCACACTTATAGGATATTCCGTTTTAGAATTGGGTGTGCTAATCATGCAAACTCCATGCTTGTGTTTGTTTTATGGGTTACAAAAAATAGCACTGTACGTGCTACGCGAATACCCCTACAGCGGTACTGTGGGATGTACACGGTCATTCGGTTTCTGACACGTGTGACAGGTCGCAGAGACTGCTCGATTTCCACGTTGCGGAGGGAACCATGCGGATGGGATTGTTATACGTGGCAGTCTGTCATGAACCTGTCACAGGACACCTTCCTTTTTTTTAGGGGCTGCCCGTCACCATTTCGTACGAGGTCGAGGCAAAGCTGAGACCATGCAATGCACCGCAGAACATGCAATATGCTTACAGCAGATAAGGTTGGGCATCCACCTCAACCAACCAGCAACTGAAGTAGAGCATTTAGGAGAACATTCTGGCGACAAATAGGCCAATCACTGCAGAAGGATGCAAAGAGTAGTTCGCAGATGTTCGAAGGGTAATGGTGAGCAGCCTAATATTTTGATGTAGGGGGCAGAAAAGTGTTACTTCGCCTGGCGTTTGTAGCAAAGCCTTTCCCACCTTCTGTGAGGACGAGAGCACAACCAATTCTACCAGCGAAGCGGTGTTGTTATGAGGGTGGGTGCACCAAAGCTCAAGGTCATTCTCGTCATTCCAATCTGAGACTTGGTTCCACAACTAGCCTCCTCACAAGCTTCCCTCTCATTCTAGTGTCGGCCTCAAATCCTTACGCGATGTCGTCCCAGTTAATCACAGATGGCTGCGGATTGTCTGTACGACTAGGGCGGGAGACTTATGAAATGTTAATCGCTCGTCAGGAAGAGTGGAACGAGGCGTTGTTACTTTTCGGCCTTGTGTATGTATCCAAGCGCGGTTTGTAACGCACGCCGACTTTATCGGCGCGTTAAACCCTTGTATTTTTAGACACGCACCTGCTATCCTCTTACCTCTGCGACATGTCGGCTTGGATGCAGGGAGGTTGCCAAGGACAAGATCGGGGATCCTCGCGTTCGCAGAGACATAAAGATTCTGGCTCCTACCGAGCATCGGCGTCTGAGGTCTGCCGTCCCGCGTGTCCCCAGTTGTGGCAGCGAACATCGCTCGCTGTTGGACTACCAGATGGTTTTAATACCCATGATATCAGCGTGAGTTCTTGACATGGATCCGCAACGTCTGTCGATGACACCAGCTTATCTTGCTAATCCAAACTTTGATGTACCGCAGAGTCCCTGTTGTTGACTCGACTGCGATCAGTCTCATGGTGCTGCTGAACCCGCAAGATCTGTTAGCACATCCCCGCGGAGAGTACCGTACGCGTGTGCTACACTTCGACCCTAAATCTCCAATCCCAACCCATCGCCACAGCGACCATGCCAAGGAGGTGTTCGAGTAAGTGTCACTCCTTAATCAGATGTGCGGTTTGTATGGACGCATATTATTGATTATTTGCGACCCCCTTGCCCTGCAGCTGGCTTATTCGACAACTAGATGTGGAATACAGCCGAGGTCGCAGGGTCTCTGGCAGCCACGCCGAAGCGGTGCAGAAAGATTTGAGGGATCGCCTAGAGGAACTGATTCTGGAGGAAGGCCGGGTAAGGAGCCTCTATTTTTAGATTTAAGCGTTATATGATATTAAGCTTGTCAAATGTTACGGGAGTGTCTGACAACCACCTGTTCACTCACATGTCGCAGATCAACAAGGTTCAGGGACAGAGGCTAGTGGGTTCCGGGCTGCACGTTACCCATCTGTTCAGCAAGTTGCTGGAAAAATGGGGGGATGTCATGGCGATTCAAACTGCAGAGCCGATGATCCCCTTAGGGAAGGGGAAAAACAGCGCGAAAGAAATTCGGAGTATGCTGGAGTCGACCTGCAGGGCCTTCTTCGACCTGCAAGGAGTCCAGCTCCGTCCCGCTCCGGATGCAGTCATGACGACCCATGAGGCTCGAGTGGTGGAGAGCGCACCGGAACGGTCCGGGAATAACATGGAGCCGGCGGCACAGAACAGATCCGAAGCGGTAGAAGGACAGCGAGACGTACCTGCCGCAATCCGGGACGCAAATCCAAGAGTGGGGGAAATTTCTTATTCCCGGCGACCTGCACCGGGGAGTGCACTACTGAGTGGCCCGACATCATGGTCAGCCCGTGCGGACGAGCGTGTTAGGGGTGGAGCTAGGCAGCTCAGGTTTGCTGATCGGGTTAGGAGGCCGCCGGCACGCGAAGCACGGACGGAGACCGACTTGGCAAGTGTAGCAGATGAAGGCGAGGAGGGTGTAGAAGATCCACAGCATCCAAGTCAGGTCGAACAGGCAGAGGAGCAGTTGAGGAAGGCGGCTGATGATAAGCGGATGGCCGAAGCAGAAGCCAATAGGAGACGGGCTGAAGAGAGGCAACGGCGCCGTGATGGCGACACCGATCCTATCGTCTCTTTCTCGGGAACAGGAGACATACGTCAAGCCGCGGAGCGTGGGGCACGAGCCGCTGCAAGAGCACACGCGGGAGTGGCAGGAGGAGAGGAGCTCGCCAGCAATGTGAGGCAGCATATCGAGGAGGATACGGGACACGTGAAAGTTCGCTTGCCCAGCGTAAAGCGGAAGGCGGCTGAAGAGGCCCGGAGAGGGGACGTCGACAAGCCAGAGCAAAGGTTCATAAGATGCAACGCGGGTGCAAAGGCTCATAAGACGGCGGAGGTAGAGGCGGCACTTACGGCAGAGGACGGGGCGCCAAAGGAATCAGAGGATTTGGCGCAGCAGAAGGTGGGTGCAGAGGCGGTTAAGAGTGCGGAGGCAGTCGCGCGTAAAGAAGCTGGTGCAGCAGCAGAGCAGACGTCGGAGGCAGTCGCGCGGCAGGTGGTGGAGGCAGTGGCGCATAAGGAATCAGAGGCAACGGCGAGCCAGAAGGATGAGGCAGTGGCGCAGCAGAATGATGAGGCAGACGCACATAAGGAATCAGCGGCAGCGGCGCAGCAGAAGGATGAGGATGCGGCGCCCAGGATGGTTGAGGCGGTGGCGCAGAAGGAATCAGAGGCAGCGGCGCAGCAAAAGGATGAGGGTGCGGCGCCGAAGATGGTTGTGGCAGGGGCGCAGAAGGGATCAGAAGCAGCGGCGCAGCAGAAGGACGAGGGTGCGGCGCCCAGGATGGTTGAGGCAGTGGCGCAGAAGGAATCAGAGGCAGCGGCGCAGCATAAGGATGAGGGTGCGGCGCCCAGGATGGTTGAGGCAGTGGCACAGAAGGAATCAGAGGCAGCGGCGCAGCAGAAGGATGAGGGTGCGGCGCTGAAGATGGTTGAGGCAGAGGCGCATAAGGGATCAGAGGCAGCGGCGCAGCAGAAGGATGAGGGTGCGGCGCCGAAAATGGTTGAGGCAGAGGCGCAGAAGGAATCAGAGGCATCGGCGCAGCAGAAGGATGAGGGTGCGGCGCCGAAGATGGTTGAGGCAGAGGCGCAGAAGGATTCTGAGGCATCGGCGCAGCAGAAGGATGAGGGTGCGGTGCCGAAGATGGTTGTGGCAGAGGCGCAGAAGGAATCAGAGGCAGCGGCGCTGCAGAAGGATGAGGCAGACGCACATAAGGAAGGAGAGGCGCGGAATAAGGCAGAAGCAGCGGCGCGGCAGAAGGCGGAGGCAGAGGAGCAGAAACTGGCTGCGGAAGAGGCGCTACAACTGGCTCGGGCTGAAGCGCGGAAGCGTGCAGAGGCAGAGGCGCAGAAGATCGCGGAGGCCGAGGAGCAGAAAGCAGCGGCGGCAGTGGCAGAGGCGCGAAAAAAGGAAGAGGGCGAGGCGCAGAGAGTGTCAGCTGCAGTGGGCGAGGGGCAGAGGGACGAGCAGGCATTGTCGAAGGCATTAGCAGATCGAGAGACACAGACTGTAGCAGAGGCAGAGGAGCAGAATACAGTAGATGAGGCAGGGGTGAGAGATGAGGCAGGTGTGTCTGGCAGCGAGGGAGATGAGATGGAAACAGCGGAAGGGGCGGAAACAGAGGAGATGGAAACGGAGGATGCGGTACATCCAGCGGTCCGAATGTTTTTGGGAGGTGCTTCGACGCAGGGACCTGAAAATGTGGTAGAAGGTGCATGGAGAGTGGCAGAAGATGGGCCGCAAAGGGATACAGTGGATCTTACACGGCAGAGGCGGGGTGACCGAATGCAGAACCTACACCAGAGAGCGGAGGAGAGCAATCGCGGCCAGGAGGGGATGTAAGAGGCGTGGGAGGAGGCAGAGTGGCGCGAGGCAGAGGCGGCAATACGGAGGATGCTGCGGCGCACGAGTACAGTCATGGTCGAAGAAGGTGACGGGTTCGTAGAGGGCGAATGCTGGGACATAACCCCTACAGAGGTAACGCGTCGTCTAACCCTCTTAGCCCGAATGGTGACGCAGCCATTTTGTAATTTGGCGGCCCGCAGTAGCAACATTAGTCGTGACGTGGCCGACCTGACAGTCCATTACTGCCGCGACGCTCTGGCCAACCTGGAAGAGGTCCGCCATGGAAACGAGGAACGGCGGCGCCAAGCAGAAACAGAGGCCAGGTTTCGCGAGCAGATTGACACGAGACTCTCCACTTTGCATGAGAGTATACTAAGCGTTAGAACTCAGGTGCGACTCTCGGGAGGGGGAATGGCAGAGGGGATGTTAAAGAAGTTGGAAGAGAGGTTGAAAGAGGTTCTAAGTGAAGACTACGAGCGGCGGAAGAGGGATAGACAGCATGAAGAGGATCAGTGGCAGAAGGCCACTACGAAGGAAGCCGAGGCGGCAGAGAGGAGGAAGAAGGACCAACAGCAGGAGGATGAGCGTCGGCTGAAGGAGATGAGAGAGGGAATGAAGGAGATGAAGGAGGCCATGAAGAAGGAGATGAAGGCCGAAATCAAGGAGATTAGTGATCGGATGGTAAACCAGGTGGTGGAGAGGTTGAGCGCGGTTCTGCGAGAAGAATCCGAGCGGCAGGAGGAGGCGAGGCAGGCGGACGCGGAGTGGCGGCAAAAGCAGGAAGCGAAGCTGAAAGAGGCAGACGACGTGGAGAGGCAGATGAAGAAGAAGAAACAGCTGGACGAGGATAGGCGGAAGGAGGATGAGGAGAAGATAAAGGAAGTAGAATCCACAGAGCGACGGAGGAAGAAGAAACAGCTGGACGGAGAGGGGCGGCAGAAGGAGGTGCAGGACGGGTTAAAGGGGATGATGGAGGCTGTAAAGGAGATGAAGTCGGGGATGAAGGAGTTTAAGGAGGGGATGCTAAGTGAGGTGGAAAAGAGGTTAACGAAGGTTCTGAGAGTGGACGCAGAGCGGCTGAAGAGGGAGAAACATCAGGAGGAGGAGCAGCGGCAAAAGGAGGAGGAGCAAAGCAAGAATGCATTGGAGGCGGACCAGATGCAGAGGGAGAAACTGAAACAGGTGGAGCGGCTGCATAAGGAGGAGGCGCAGAGGCAAGAGGCAGAGGAGGCCGATCGGCAGCATAGTGATAAACAGCGGGAGAAGGAGCGCCTGCAGAAGGAGGTGTCGCAGAGCAAGGAGGCAGAGGAGGCCGAGCGGCAGCAGAGGGCGAAACAGTTGGAGAAGGAGCGCCTGCAGAAGGAGGAGGCGCAGAGGATTGAGGCAGAGGAGGCCGAGCGGCAGCAGAGGGCGAAACAGCAGGAGAAGGATCGCCTGCAGAAGGAGGTGAGAAGATTTGAACAAGAATGAATGAACTATGAAATGAAGTGAGTACAAATATGAAGCCCTAATTGGTTGTACCCCCTATGGAATACCCCACTATAGCCTACACAACAGCATAAGCTATAATGTTCTGACACACCCCCATAGGCAAAGTGGGGGAGAACAAGGGGTCACAAGACCAGTCAAGCAAAGTAAAGCAAAGTAAGCTCAGGGTGGATCACAAAGTCACCACACAGTCCGAGCACAGGGTCAAGGCCACACGGCCAGTTCACATGCAAGAGTACACACATATATATAAAGCTAGACAAGCAAGAGCAGGTATATATATATGTGAGAGTACAGGCAAGGTCAAGAGGAGAGCAAGTGAGGCAAGACGGGCACAAGACCCAGCTGAGTGCAGAAGCGCTGATGATCACAAGGCGGAAGTGCCTTGGTGAAGACATCAGCAGTGTTGGCCTCAGAGGCCACGTACGCAAGCCGCAACTGACCACGTTGCTGTAGCTCACGAGCAAGGAAGTAGCGGAGAGCAATGTGCTTTGTTCTGTGCTCCAGTCGCTGCTCTCGACACAAGGCCAGCATGGCCTTGTTGTCTACGTACAGGACTGGAGGAGAACGAGGCGGCTCTCCAAGGTCGGTCAGCAGGTAGGTGAGCCAGCGAAGCTCCTGTGCAGCCATGGCCCCGGCGTAGATCTCAGCCTCACAACTCGAGCCAAGAACAGAAGACGAGCGAGTAGCCCGCCACGAAACAGAGCCGGAACCAAGGCTGAAGGTGTAACCCTGTGACGACCGCTGCGTAGCCTGGTCGTCAGCCCAAGAAGCGTCCGCGTGCCCAGTGAGGACCACTGGACTCCGCCCTCCAAGCACTAGCCCCATGCCCGACGTACTGCACAAGTAGCGCAACACCCTCTTCGCTGCAGCCATGTGCTCTGGTCTGTGTCTCCCAGGAGCAACATAGCGTGCAAGAATGCTAAGAGGGTATGCAAGGTCAGGTCGTGTGCAGGTCATCAGGTACATGAGGCAGCCAACAAGCTCTGGGTACGGGCCACTCGACTCTACGGACTCATCCGAAGGCAGAGCTGAGAGCGAGTGGCGAGTAGACCGAGGAGTGGCCTGAGGCGAGGAGTACGTGAAGCCGAAGCGCTGAAGGACCTGCTGCACCATGTGTGACTGAGTCAGGGTAATGGTGCAGCGTGCTCTGTCCCGGGTGATCTGCAAGCCAAGGTAGCTGCGCAGTTCACCCAGGTCTGTGCACGTGTGTCTCTTCTGCAGCTCGGACTTCACGTAGGCGAGTCCAGCAGTGTCAGCTGTGGCAAAGACCAAGTCGTCGACGTACACGAGGATGTAGAACGGCGGCAGAGAGGTGTCGGTGCGTAGAAACAGCGACGGGTCGGCAGTAGAAGGAGCAAACCCAAGAGCCGCAAGTGTAGTCCTCAGTGTGTCGTGCCACTCACGTGGCGCCTGGCGGAGACCGTAGACTGGACGCCGGAGACTCCACTGGGTACCAGAAGGGAAAGACCCAGTGAAGCCAGGTGGGCGACGCAGCCAGATCTCCTCGTGCAGGCTGCCCTGCAAGAAAGCTGTGCTGAAGTCAAGAGAGTGCAGCTCGTAGTCACGGTGAGCAGCAACGTGCAGCAGTACCCGAAGAGTGGTCATCTTCGGGGTGGGGGAGAAGGTCTGAAAGTAGTCAACTCCCTGCCGCTGACTGAAGCCACGAGCCACGTAACGCGCCTTGAAGACAGGCGGAGAACCCGGCGGCCGCTTCACCCTGAAAATCCACATGCCACTGACGATGTTCGCCCCAGGAGGGGGGACAGCGTCAACGTAGGTGCCTGTGGACTTCCAGGAAGCCATCTCTGCATCCATAGCTGCCTGCCACTGAGAGGAGTAGGGACCCTCTATCGCCTCCGCGTAAGAGCGCGGAGTCGGGATGTCAAGTGCATCCGGGTCTCCCTCAGGGGTAAGCAGTACGGACACGAGATGAGGTGAGGCAGCTGCCAGACACTGGAACTCCTCCTGCCTGTCCTCAAGGACGTCCGTGCCAAGGGCACACTCACCCCCGACGGACGGAGGACAGACAGACTCAGACTCAGCGACAAGACTAGCAGCGTAGTCTAAGCGACAGCGAGCAGCAAAGTCGACGAGCTCAGTAACGAGAGCAGACGCAGCAGTAGACTCGAAAGAAGGGTCAGTGACAACAGTAGCAAGGAGACGCGTGACAGTAGGACTGGCAGCACGAAGAGAGTCCGACTCCGGGTCGGCAAGAGCAGGAAGAGATGACTCAGGAGGAGAAGGCAAAGGGGCACGCAGAGGAGCAGTGGACGGACGCAGAGACATCCGGTGCGTGCCAGGGACAGGAGGAGGACGCTGACGCGAACCGCGACCACTAGTGCGAGCAGCACGGACAGGCGACGCAGGGCGAGACGCAGGCTCACGACGCTCAGCCAGACCTCCAGTAGGACCAGTGTAGGGAGAAGGAGCAGGCAAAGGGGAGGTAGGCTGCAACTGTAGCTGGGACGAGACAGGCTCTGGACACTCTAAGGGAGGAGGAGGACCAGTAGAAGGTGGAAGACCAAGAACCTGCTGCAGGAGTGGAACGAAGTACGGTCGAGGCCGCGCGGCGACGCTAGAAGCAGCAGGGACAGCACCAGAACCCTCAGCAGGAGCACCCGCTCCAGCAGCACCACCAGTAGCTCCAGAACCTCCAGCAGCACCAGGAGCACCCCCAGTAGGACTGCCAGCGGTAGTCTCAGCGCCAGCACCCTCAGCAGTACCAGCTCCAGTGCACCCAGGACGAGCACCTCCGGGACCCGCGACCGCAGCACCCTCAGCAGCCGAAGGACCTCCAGCACCAGCAGCACGCCTCCAGCGCCGGGCAAACCACTCACGCAGCTCCTGTGGAGAAAGTGGCTCCCGGCGAGACGAAGCACTCGGAGAACCTCCAGGCGGAGCACCTCCAGGCTCAGCACCCCCAGGCGTAGCACCCCTAGGCTCAGCACCCCCAGACGTAGCACCCCTAGGCTCAGCACCCCCAGGCTCAGCACCCCTAGGCTCAGCACCCCCAGGCTCAGCACCCCCAGGCTCAGCACCCCTAGGCTCAGCACCCCCAGGCTCAGCACCCCTAGGCTCAGTACCCCCAGACGTAGCACCCCCAGGCCCAGCACCCCTAGGCTCCGCACCCCCAGGTACAGCACCCCCAGCCTCAGCACCCTCAGCAGCACCAGAGTCACCAGTGACCTCGACAGGCTCGACTGCGTCTACCTGGGACACACCTGAAGGGGCAGGACCCTGAGGGGGGAGGGGGTCTACCTGGGGGGGACCTGGTACCAGGAAGAGTGGGGGTGGGGGGAGGGACGGAGTGCGGTAGGGGAAGAGGCGGTAGTAGGGGACCGACTCGTCAAACGTGACGTCCTGGGAGGACAGAACACGGCGAGAGGTGGGGTGGTAAAACTGCCACCCAGGCGCGTCAGGGGGGAACCCCAGGAAGACGCAAGGAGCAGCACGAGGGGATAGTTTGTCCGCAGACAGGTCGCGGACAAACGCCCGAGATCCCCAGACTCGGAACGCCGACGCATCGCCAACCTTCCCCGTCCACAGCAAGGCTGGGGAGGTCTCCGGCCTGGAGACCCTGGGGTGGAGGTTGATCTGATGCGCCGCGTACCTCACTGCAAACGGCCACAGAAAATGGGGGGCAGCCGCATGCATCATAGACGTACGAGCGACGTCCATGACCATGCCAATGCGGCGCTCAGCAATCCCATTTTGCTGCGGTGAGTCCGGAAGCGTGAAGGTCTGACGGATGCCCCGTGCACGACAGTAGGCACGCAGAAGGCCAGAGGAGAACTCTCCGCCTCTGTCCGAGTGCAGACGCAGAACAGGAAAGTCCGAGCCGAAGCTCTGCCTGAGCTGGAGACGAGCTGCGCGGATCCAGTCGATCAGCACCTCAGTGACATCACCCTTGCTGCGCAAGGGGAAGACTGTGGTGTAACGCGAGTAGTCGTCAACAACGAGCAGGAAGTAGCGCTCGTGACCCTGTCCACGGACGCGGGCTGGGCCCCACACGTCCATGTGAAGTGTCTGCAACGGGGCCTCTGTCGGAGGAAACTGGGAGGAGTGAGGGGCAGCACGCAGGCGCCCCTCGACATAGGGGACACAGGCAGGGCCAGGGCCCTGAGGAAGGGGAGGGAGGGACCGGGGGAGACCGGACACAAGAAGACGGGAGGCCATACCTCTGAGCCGAAGCAGAGAGGGGTGGCCAAGGCGGTGGTGCCAGAGGAGAGTCTCGTGAGACAGGAGACGACACGAACAGGGGGCAGACTCAGGACCAGACCTGGACGCCGCAGCAAACACCTGACCCGACGTAACTACCCTACCAGACTCAGCAACTGGAGGAGACGCAGTGGTCAGAGTGTACAGGCTCGACCCCGGCTGACGGGTGAACGTAGCCAGGTGTCGGCCTGTGCCAGCCTCTGTACAGTGGGTCACTCTCTGACGTGCAGGAGTGAACTGGTGGACCCCCGCATCCTGTAGGTCAGCACCACTCACCAGGTTCGTAGAGAACGAGGGGAGGTAGAGACCAGACAGGGTGCCAGAGGGAGCCGCCGGACACGGGAGGACTGTGGAGAAGCGAGACAGGACAGGACCCCCAGAGGGGTCAGCTAGAGACACTGCAACCGGTCGACTCAGCGGTGTGAGTGTGGTGCGGTCCCGAAAGAAGGAGCGAGACGCCCCAGAGTCAAGGGTGAAGGTGAGGGAGGCCGAAGCCGACACAGTACCTGAGAGCGCAGACTCACCAGTACCTGAGGACGCAGACACACGAGCACCTAGAGCAGCAGCGTCGCAAGCACCTAGGGCAGCAGCCTCACCAGGACCTAGAGCAGCAGTCTCAATGCCCGGATCGGGCGGGAAACACCGGTAACAGTCACCCTCATCACTAATAGACACAGCATACATGGCAGAGAGAATAGCATCAAAGTCAAGATCATAGATGGCAACACCCGCCCTAGACAGCTCGCCCCAGCGAGGGATCTCGGAGGCCTCCGGGAACTGGTGACGCCACGCGTCCGTCAGGCGGCCAAAGCAGCGCTGGGTGGGGTGGGCACCCCCACACTGCTCACCCGCACGGTCGCCAGTGCGCAAAACGTAGGAGCACGGACCAAAACCCCCACCCCGCTGACGCGCAGTGTACCACTCACGAAGCTGCTGAGGGGACAGGGTGTCACGACCACGCTGCTGCTGCTGGCGCGAGCCACCACCGGAGCCACTCCTCTGCGAAGACCCGCGACCAGCACCACCGCCACCCCCGCCGCCTCCGACGCCTCCGCCGCCTCCGCTACTGCCGCCGCCTCCGCCTCCGCCGCCGCCTCCACCTCCGCCACCTCCGCCACCTCCGCTCCCACCGCCACCGCCGCCGCCACCTCCACCTCCACTGCCGCCACCGACCCCTCCACCCCCACCTCCACTCCCACCGCCACCCCCACTCCCCCAACTGCCGCCACCTCCACCTCCACCGCCCCCGCTCGCTCCTCCAGCGCCCTTGCCCCCCTTGCCCTTGCCAGAGCGGCGTCTCCCGCTAGGGGCAGACGCCGCACCGACCGACTCAAGAACAAGGAGGTCGGCCGCAGCAGCAGAGGCAACAGAGGGCAGAAGGGGGGAGGGGGAACACCCCTCAAAGATGGGGGTGCGCGGGTCACCACGAGAGGCCCCTACAGCGACTATGCTCTTCTCGGCCGCTAGGAGGGACTTCTCGAGGAGGTCAACAGTGAGAGTGGTGGGACAGACAGAGAGAAAGTGGTCCCTGACTACGCGAAGGGAGTCAGGAAGGCGAGTGACTATGTAGTAAAGAGTGATGTACATGGGGGGGGGGTTCCTGGCGCAGAAGTCAGGAGGGAGTGCAGCGCGGTAGCGAGTGTCACTAGTGCGGAGGTGCGTAATGAGGTCAGTGACTGTGGGAAAGGCAGCAAGATCAGGAAAGAGGTACGGTAGTATGAGACGGCTCAGTGCAGCAGTGGCAGGGGAGGAGTAGCGCGCAACTACAGCGTCGTACAAGGTCTGAGCACTCTTGTACTGACTAAAGTGCGCACGCTCGGAGGTAGGGAGGTGGCGACGCACAGCAAGACGTGCAGCAGCGTCGCGCGTGGCCCACTGGGAGCGAACAGTGGCGTCAGCATCAGCAGCAGGGGCAGTGGAGGTGCCAGAGGTGAGGTCAAAGAGAGAGAGGCCGTCTGCCCTATCGCACTGTAAGAACAGCTGCAGGTCATCTACCCAGACCTCAAAGTCAATGGCCCTACCCTCAGCGTCAAAGGCGAGAACACTAGGGGTAGCCATGACCCTAGACGACTAGCAGCGCAAACAGTAGGGTGAGGACAGTGCAGTGAAAAGGCGCTGTGCTCACCAGACTGGGCAGGTCGGGCGGCCCTGAAGGAGGGCGGCGCGGCGGCTCGGCGGCTCAGCTGCTGGGCGGCCCGGCGGCTCGGCGGCTCCGCTGCTGGGCGGCTCGGCTGCTGGGCGGCTCGGCTGCTGGGCGGCGCGGCCGCTGGGCGGCTCGGCTGCTGGGCGGCTCGGCTGCTGGGCAGCTCGGCTGCTGGGCGGCTCGGCGGCTCGGCTGCTGGGCGGCTCGGCTGCTGGGCGGCTCGGCGGCTTGGCTGCTGCAGGGCGGCACGGCTGGGCAGCAGGTGACGGGGCCGCAGGTAAGGGCGGCGGGGCCGCTGGTAAGGGCGGCGTGGCCGCGGGTAGGGTGGCGGGGTCGCAGATAGGGTGGCGGGGCCGCAGCAGAGGGCGGAGGGGCCGCAGGTAAGGTGGCGGGGCCGCAGGTAAGGTGGCGGGGCCGCAGGTAAGGTGGCGGGGCCGCAGCAGAGGGCGGCGGGGCCGCAGGTAAGGGCGGGGCCGCAGGTAAGGTGGCGGGGCCGCAGGTAAGGTGGCGGGGCCGCGAGGAAGGGCGGCGGGACCGCTAGGTAGGGCGGCGGGGCCGCGCGATGGGGCGGCGGGGCCGCGAGGAAGGGCGGCGGGGCCGCGCGATGGGGTGGCGGGGCCGCGCGATGGGGCGGCGGGGCCGCGCGATGGGGCGGCGGGGCCGCTAGGTAGGGCGGCGGGGCCGCGCGATGGGGCGGCGGGGCCGCGATGGGGCGGCGGGGCCGCGATGGGGCGGCGGGGCCGCGATGGGGCGGCGGGGCCGCTAGGTAGGGCGGCGGGGCCGCGCAATGGGGCGGCGAGGCCGCGAGGTAGGGCGGCGGGGCCGCTAGGAGAGAGGCGGCGGGGCCGCTAGGTAGGGCGGCGGGGCCGCTAGGAGAGAGGCGGCGGGGCCGCGAAGACGGGCGGCGGGGCCGCGGAGACGGGTGGCGGGGCCGCAGTGCAGGGCCGCTAGGGCGGCTCGACGAAGTGAGGGCCCGGAGCGCGACTCGGGCTGAGCGCGCTTCGGGCAGGAAAAAAAAAAAAAAAAAAAAAAAAAAAAATCGATGTGGTGGGCCCTAAGCACAGTTCCCAAGGGGGAACCTGCTCGATACCATGAGAAGATTTGAACAAGAATGAATGAACTATGAAATGAAGTGAGTACAAATATGAAGCCCTAATTGGTTGTACCCCCTATGGAATACCCCACTATAGCCTACACAACAGCATAAGCTATAATGTTCTGACAGGAGGAGGCGCAGAGGATTGAGGCAGAGGAGGCCGAGCGGCAGCAGAAGGCGAAACAGCAGGAGAAGGAGCGCCTGCAGAAGGAGGAGGCGCAGAGGATAGAGGCAGAGGAGGCCGAGCGGCAGCAGAGGGCGAAACAGCAGGAGATGGAAAGACTGCGGGAGGAGGAGGCGCAGAGGGAGGCCGAGCGGCAGCAGAGTGCGAAACAGGAGGAGATGGAGCGACTGCGGGAGGAGGAGGCGCAGAGTAAGGAGGCGGAGGAGGCCGAACGGCAGCATAGCGAGCAAGAAGAGCGGCGGCAGACGGAGGCAGAGGTTGCCGAACAGGAGCAGAAGCGAGAGCAGCGTCGAGCAGAGAAGAGGGCGAGACTTGCATCATGCGCGGAGGAGCGGCGGCTTCTGGAGGCGAAGGCAAAGGCTATGGCGGAAGAGACGGAACGTTTGGCACGGGAGATGGAGGAGGAAGATTCGACCATGCAGGGGGAGGGGACAGGGGAGGGAGTCGAGGAGGAAATAACAAAGAGCCTGGGGAGGGTGAGGTTGGAAGAGAGAGGGGAGGCGAATGTAGCAGACGGCGTGCCAAAAGTTCAGGGACAGAAGATAGAGGTGTCCAGGAGACGGCCTGGGCAGGAGGACAGGGAGCCGGAGGGTCATGCGGCTAAGAGACGGCGTGCAGTTGCCACACAGGAGTTGATACCGGTAACGCAAGATGAAACGAAGGGGGTGAAGATCGACAAGTGTGACGATAGGAGACACGCCATAGTTGACCCTCTGGGTAAGACTTTGGGAGTCCGGCTGCCTTTCAGGGGAAGCGGGTTCTCCCAACGAGGCGAGGGAGCATTGCAGAAGTTTACGTCAGAGCAGACCGTCGGCGGCCGGAAGCGGAACCTCGGCTCCCACAAAACGGTGTGGGAGAGGGGATATACGGTGGCCGTCTGCTGGAAGTTCTTCTTCCCGAATATTGACATGACGGCATACGGGTTGAATCCGAACCGTTTAACCTCGTGGCGCGACGACCTCATGTTCACAACATGGCTTCCTACGGGGGTGTGGAGCGTCCTAAATGAGCTCCACCTCGACAAACCAGACGGGTGAGTGTTTTTTAGGTGGAAAGTTGCAACTTCAAAACACACGCGAACTTCGATGTTTCTGATATTCCAACATGGGTGGCTTGTGCAGATTCTCACTCGTTCAAACCAACACGGGTGCTGATCGGCAGCAGCCGGGGGATGGCTTTCGCGTTGCTGCCTGCGCTGCTGTTGGAATAACTGCGTGGCAGAAGATCGTGGGAGGCGTGGATGGCGAAAACGGCTATTCTACGGAAGAACATGCGGTCGGAATCGCTGCCACGTTGTCTGTACTGTGGGATGCCTCCACGAATGTGGCCCGAACCCAGTGGGAGACGGGCGCATCATCTGCAGCGCTAAAAACTTCCACGGCAATCGCCACTTCCGCTGCCAACACGGTCTCTGCTGCCACCGCCTCTTCTGCTGCCACGTCATCTTCTGCTGTAGCCGGATCCTCTGCCGTCCTCGATGCCCTTGCGCCGCTTGCAGCCTCGGTTGCTTGCGTTGCAGTAGATGCGATGGAATCGGTCAAGGATCAGGAGCATGACAAAGAAGCGTGGATCCAGCCCCTGTCGGATGCACTGCTGAGTGCGCGTCCGGCAGAGTCGCGCACGGGCGGGGATACGAAGCGGATGACGAGGGTGGTGGCAAAGGTGGTGACCTCTTGGTGCCTATGCAGCATGGCATCAAGAGGCCTTCGCCAGCACCAGGGCGTCAGCCTCGTAGTCCTGCAGAAGAAATTGGGCACCCGGGACACTACAATCGGGGCGGATAAGGAGAAGAAGACCAAGAAGTCGGCCGCGAAGGGGAACGCGACGAAGGGTGCGTCGACGGAGGGGAACACCAGCACCGGCGGACAGGAGTGATTTAGGGGGATGGGTTTTTTGGAGGTCTTGTTAGGACCGCTGTAGAAAATGTTTTTTTTACCAGCTTTTTTACACCCGTCTATAAAGATAGGTGCTGTTGTATATAATACAAGGTGAGATCCCAATTTCCATGTGCAAACCAAAAGTACAGTCGCGAAGATTGGGAGCATAAGATCTTGTCATAGGGAGCACCTTGCTACGAATCGTATACGACACTCCTCTGCAAAGACACATCTGCTGTGGAGATTGAATTCTTCGACGCCGAAACGTGGCGCCAAATCGGATATGACACTATACCGAGGGCAAAAGCAGATAACTGACAATGTTCTCCCCCCCAAGAGTAAAGCAAAATGCCTATCCCAGACCCCTGAACCGGGCCATCGTTGTGTTCTACTTGTCTCTGAAGAAACAAATTACCCTATTATGCGCCTGTTAGTGCTGATTGAAGTCCTCGACGCCGACATGTGGAACCAAGTCGTATACGACACAATTCCGCATACAACCCTCCAAGGCATAAGGAACATCTCCATAGGAGATCGAATTCGTCGACGCCGATCGGTCGAGGCTAAACGTTGTCGACACGACCTCGCAGACTTTTGCCCGCTACATAACATCTATGCCGACTTCTGCAACGCATATCTACAAGTAACAGCCGAATAAGACACCTCCACAATGTTGTATGTGACACAAGGATATGAGAAACCTATTGCGACACTAATCTGCATAGACAACGACAGAGTGCGTTTGAATATGCAGAGACCAGGCAAACATTATACGCTGAACACCTCGTCCAGAGAAAAAGGTGGCATACAAGCCCAAGAAGCGGGCTTCTACATATAATGAGAAGTGCAAATCGTATTCGGGGTGCAATTGCCACAAGTTTAGAAAAGTACCCAAATAACTAAACCGCACTAGCCTAAACCACCATGCCGCCGAATTTCTGCGCCTAGCGTTTCGACGCATCGCCCTTCGCCTTTTCCAGTTCCGCCTTCTTCGCCGCAGCGGTTCGTTTTTTCTCCTCTTCCGCCTCCTCCTTGGCCAGTTGTTCCTTGTGGATCTCCTCCCACTCTGCATCCCCAAACAGCGATGTTGCCCACTCCTTGTCGCGCAGGCCCTTCTTGACTAGCAGCCAGCTCACTCTGCGTTGCGCCAAGTCGTTGACGGTCATCTTTTCCGTCGACAAACCAGTTTTCTGTTTCTTGTTGGGCGGTGTCTCTTGCAGCACCGCCAGGCCGTTGGTGAATTCGGTGAAGTTGCACAAGGCGAGCACCTCGTCCAGGAGGTTAACGGCCGTTGCAGTCGCCGCCTCGGAGCTGTCTTTTCTTAACGTCTCCACGGAGACCATGACACGAAGCACGCGACGCATCTTTCGCTCGCATGCACCCACAGTCATGTCGGACTTACCTTTCGCCGCGAACCGGGAATATGCGGTGATGAAACTGTTGTTCTTGTTCCTATCCCGGCCGAAATCTGCCCAGACTTCGGCCAATGTCTTTCCGCCCATGATCTGGCTTGGCTGCACCCACAGTTTCCAGGCAGCAGCAACAGTTTCGGCTTCGCGCCAAGACACAACGACCACGAAGAAGAAATCTTCCACCGCAACAGGTGCTTTGGATCTGGCCGCTGCCTGGCTTGCACCCACTCCCGAGTTCTTCGACGATCCGTCGACCTCTGCAGAGGCGTTTGCATTGTCTGTCCACGCCGCAACAGACCTCTTGTATGCTTCGAACTCTGCAATGACCCGAGCCTTGTCCTCTCGCTCAGCGGCGAGTTTCTCCCTCAGTTCAGCGTTCTCCATCGCCAACTGCATTTCACGTCCTCTCAAAATCCCAAGCTCCTCCCTGAGCATATTGGCGAAGAGGTGCATCTTCTGCATCTTCTCTTCGGCGGTCGTGCGAAAGATAGCGTCCTGCAGAAACCAACACGGCAGAACTCAGCATAAACGAATAACTCCCTCCCTCTACCACTAATAGCAGACACTTACTGCTTTGGCGGTGGTATGGGCGGTTGCCCGAAGCTTCTCGCCCTGGAAGTGAGAGATAGCGACCAGGTACGCCCACTTTTGGAACAGCGGGTGGTTGCACAAGGGGCTCATATGCACATATGGATGCCTCTCGCAATTGCACTGCGGAATTTTCACGCCGTGCTGATGGCAGAACGCCCACATCATAGCTAGATCCTGTGCAACAACGAGGCGTCCGATGCTCGCGAGGGTCTCAAGGAACCTCGCCCCCGCATAGTGCCTCTTCAGCGGGTCGGTCTGCGCTGCGTTCCATTCTTCGACCTGAGGGAACGAGTATGCAGGAGAAATGCGACGGTTCATAATTGCGTATCAAAATTCAGCTACGAACGCGAGGACTGTACACTCGCACGTACCTTCTTCCAACCCTCCTCGACCCAGGGGAAAATGTGAAGCCTCAAGAGATCCAAGAGCTGCAACCACTCATCCTTCTCCTTATCCTTATGCCGCGGAAGCTTGGCGCGGGATCTGCCGATGTAGTAGTCTCCACGATCCCCGCTGAATCCTGCCAGCAGCCAAACCGGCTTGAACGGAATGCCGAACACATAACACCTCCGCAACTCCCCCTGCGCCCATCCGCCCAGAGTGCCGATATCATTGTCGGAGCAACCGTCGTCATGGAGTTGTTGCGCTCCGGATCTGCGGAACGCATGTGTCACCTTGCTCAGAATCCATCTCGCCTTCGTCATGGCCCACTTAATCCAGGTGTTATGCGTTTTGTAGTGCATCTCGTCTTGCTTCTGCTTTCCGTGGTCGCCCTTCTTCAAAGAAAAGAAGAGGTGCGCTTTAGTCCACAAGATCGGTTCAGAAAAGTCGAGAGGCTCGACGATACCGGGGCCGTAGCGCAGAGGAACGAGATCGTAGATGAAATGAAGCCACAGGAACACATGGCCCATTCCGTAGAGCCAGTCCCTATGCCTTGCAAGAAACTGGTACACTCAGCTTGTTGTTGGGGTTGGTCTTCGACTTCCTGGAAACAACGCAGAGTACGAAAACGTCCAGATAGTCGTCGAGGTGTGATGTGCTCCGCGCCATGCGGACAAACAGGTTCCCAAGGCGAATCTTTCGAAGGCTGCACCCTCTTCCGAGAAATTGGTGTCCGAGGTGCATCATAACCGGGACTTGCAGAGCCTTCCAGAGAGGAAGCGAGATTTGTTCCGGAGGCGTCCGCCACCAGATCTCTAGGAGCTCTTTTCGCAGAACAGTCAGATGCAGCGTCCTATACTGGCTTGCCGTATAGCAATCACCAATTGATCCGCGGGTTTGATCGCGACCATCTCTGCATAGAATAGCACAGCAATTAGGTAAACCATGTAGAGCAACATTCACACAAGCAGAAAACACACGTATATGTTACTCACGCGACTTGCTCGTCGTGCAGATCCTTCAGCTTGACTTTGAGATAATCCCGAGCATCCTTGATCCAGTCCTTGGTCAGTGTGATGGAGAAGCCGTAGAGCCTCGCCTCGCATCTGGCAAGGCATCCCATGGCGTTCATCTTTGCCTTGATCATTGAAGCCGTGCACCCCTTTGCCTCCCTCCCCACATATTTCTCGACGTCTGGCCGCATTTTTTGACGCAAAATCTTTGCCTGCTCGTCAGTTTCGCAGAAGAGATACTCGATGTATCGGCCGAGCCTCCATTCCGTGACTCGCGGCCCGTGCAGATGAATCTGCCACTCGTCAGAGCTGCACGACCACCCATCATTTTTCAAGTTATTGCTCATATGAAACCCAACCTCGTCGTGCAGAGAGGGAGCCAGCCTATCGGCCACAGGGACATCAACCATCGTTGCCATGAAGATGATCACCCACCACTTGAAGTGTAGAAAGTGGAAACAATAGTGCCTTCTCGTGCCTTCCTCTATCAGTCGAAGCGGGATTGTTGAACGCCGGATCCTGCTCTCCTTTTCCGCAACGTCGGCCTGCCGCTGCGCATTTCCGGCGGGCGCAGCCTGATCGACCTGGCTCGCAGAATCGGGAGGTCGTCGTCGTCGCGTTGATTCTCCCTCTTCTTCTGCGTCAGAGTGATCTGAATCCTCCTCTTACCGTTCTTCAGGCGCACCGGGTCGTGGGCGCACTCCATCGCCTCCCGGCCCTTCACTCCCTTCTTCACTCCCCTGGACTTGAATCCGGACGGATGGTTCGTATAGACCACCCTGAAACAAATCCTCCTCGGTCGCCTCGAACTCGCCATCGTTCTCGCGATCCTGTGCGTAGTCGTGGTCGGTATTTTCCTCGTCCTCCAGGTCTTCTTCTCCATCCTCTGCGCCCTGGGCTGCCATGGGGCGAGACTGGACCGAGCTGTCGGCCATTCACAGATTCCTAATTTATTAGCTACCAACCGAGACTAGACGAAAGAATCGGATGGTGTCAGCCGCGGTAGGTTGTAACGATTCGCAAGTGTGCAGATAACTTAGGCAGAATGGGCTAAGCGCAGAAGCCGTAAGAGAGTCTGTGCTTCAGACGTCTGCACATTGGTCTTCGAACACCGCCTACAGCTTGCGTTTAGATATATCTACGCCTACAACTTGCGTAAACAGGGTCGCCTGACTGTCGCGTACCGTATAGCTCTGTCAACCTTTGTTCTACCGCTTTAATTCTCTACAACGAAACTACAAAAATAAGTTCCAAACATTACACGGATATAATCATCCACGGAACCCTTATGCTTGTAGATAACTTTCGTGGGTTCGACGATATCATGGATTGGGAGCGAATACTTCTACCGATAAAAAACCCTACCGTCGAAGATGTCCGGCTACAAAAGCGGGCGACCTACGACAATTGTTCCGGGCAAATACAAACAGTTCTACCGACAGAATAGTCTACCAAAAACATCTGCGCCTACATAAGCGACCTAACAAGTGCGACTGCAGTTATCCTAACCGGGCTGACCCAAAAAAAAAAACCGCACTCTATACGACCTACGTCACTACGTCGAGGACGCCGATGTTCTGCCAGTGGGTCAAGCAGGCTTAAAAGACTACGCTGGTGGACTAACAGGTGCTGGATGAAAAAATCTCTAAGAGGTTGCGGAGCATGAAATGCAAATGAAAAGGAGCAAATGAGCACGAAAACATCCATTCATACCCATCCACCACACACAGAAGCCCGTGTCCAGATCTGGTCATCCAACCCTGGCCTGGATGATTCTCCCGCAAAAAAAAAACAACTGGGAGATGGTTCCCTACTCGACGCTTATTGGCTCTCGCAGCCTTGGGACTCTGACAACAACTGTTGCCATGGCCACGTGTGCAGAACAACGACACTTGGTAAACAATGACTATAAAACACAATGAGCAAACGTAGCATGCTACACCTGTACTCGTGTTATTCATAGAACACATAAGATCAGTGGTATAAAAGAACACACCTGCTGCAGTTTTAAGGTGGCAGCCACAAAATAACCGAGTTAAAGCACATAACGACGCAGAGACGGCCAGTTTGTCGCAACCGGCCCTACGACCGGCGGTCGTCACTTGTCGGCCAAAGAGTTACGATGGCGAAAAATGTTATTCGCGACAAACATCACTGGCACAAAGGGTCACGGGCAGGGTGGTTGGAACACTGTTTTCATGGTCAGGTGGGCGCGGAATTGTGAGCGGCTGGCCTTGTCGTATGCGGCGGAGCCTTGCGCCCAAGCCCTTCGGAATCCGGAGCACACGGATCCAAAGCCTCGGATCATGGGGCAAACGCACTCGGAACTCCGCCACAACGTTATCAGAGTCCCGTGGGCAAACACCGCCGACATCGGGGGCCTGCCCTGCAGGTCCGTTTTCAATCTACGTACACCAGGGTTTCATCTGGTGCGGGGCGTTCCAAAGCGGTGGGATTCGAAAAATCAATCTTACCGTTTGGAATACTACTGAACCGAAAGGAGTGGAGGGGTTCGTGCGTGAGTTCAGGACCTTGCCTCCCAAGGATGAAAAGATTTCGGTTCGGTCCGTTGCGTTCCCGAGCGGTGTAATATCAGAACCGTGCGAAATTCTGAAGAAACCTACTGAACCGCATTCGACAACCCCCATGACCCTTGTCGTGCTCTTTTCGCCCATGAACAAGCCATCAAGTGGCCTGAATCCTGATCTTTTCGTCTCCTGAGCTATGGTGCTGATGAATCAGAGTGTGACGGGGATTTGTTGCACAGTCCGTGTTCCACGCCCTCATGCTGACGAGGAGACGCTTACCGGAAGTCTAAAGCTCAACTCGCAACATTAGCTCTGGCAGATTCGCTATTCCCCCGCGCTAGCCGCCTCTTGTACGGTCGACCTTCAGCTTCCTGTCACGGTTCCTCGCGTCACGGCACTCTTCTGTTGATTGATCCGTCTTATTTGCACTCTGAACACTCTCACGTGCTTTAGAAACCTCTCCAGATGGTAACCATGGCCGGAACAGCATCGGAACCACGCATTTCCGTTCCATGGCCGTCTCCTTTCCCCGTGAACCGGACTCGCTTCCCTTCGTACCGGACTCGTCTCACCTGGTACCGATCTCTCTCCATCTCACACCGCATCCGATCCGTCGCTGTTCGGTCCCACATCGTCGCGATCGCATTGTCGCTGCTCGCTTTCGCAATAGCGTCTGTGTCTAGCACCTCGACGAAGTTTCGCGATGCCGTTCCTGTAACCACTTCGCACAACGCCGTTTCGCCGAGCAAGTCTCAGAATGTACCCTCTCCGCTAAGTTCTCATGATGAGGTCCCGCTGCGAAAGTCGTTTCCAGGTCCTTCCGCCAAGATCTCTAGTAGCGCCCTTCCGTCCATCGATTCGTATCCGTCCATCGAATCTCGTCCGTCCATAGATTCGCGTCCCATGGGTTCCTTGATTCCAGACGAGGAAGATGACGTGGCTCCGTGGAAGTTAGACGATGACGAATAAGACGATGTGGATCTACACGCCTCCGACGCAGGAGGGGGACGGATCGCCGCACGAACGGCGCGGATCGCAGAAGGAGCGAGGCTGATCACCTTAGAGAGCGGGGGAGGCGACGATCAGAGCGGCGAAGCTCGCCGTAGAAAGCTCATTTCGGGCGATGCGCGCGAGGGTACCCTTCCGCGCAGGAGGCTCGGTGCGGGCGATGTGCGCGCGGGTGCCTTTTCGCGGCGGAAGCGGTGGAAGGAGCGGCTCGTGCGCAAGCTGGGTCCGGGGAAAAACAATCTCCGCGAGTACCTCCGCGCGGAGGGCTCCCTGCGGTCCGAGAATTTAACTACACGATACCTAATGGAGTCGCTACATCATGTGTTCTTAGACTATCACAACCAATCCCACCAGCAGACGGAGGATATGCATATTAGGTGCAAAGGCGGCGAGTGTCCGGATTTTCAGCAGTGCTCGGGGAATTTCACCGCTGTGGACGCGTGCCACTGCCCGGATATGGAAGATTTGAGCCGGCGGGCAGCTTTACCGCCGCTGAACTGCCCGCAGAAAAAGAAAGTTATGGTGGATTCGCCGTTGAATATCAAGCCGGTGAAGATACTGTTTGATCCGAACTGCTCTCATGCAGAGGATGACATTCCGCACTTCGCGTGGGTGAGCCAGATGTTCAACCTGCGCCACGTGTACTTCAACTCGCGCGGACAGGCGTTTAACGACTCGTTCCTCTACGATCGCAACGGCTGTGGAAGTGAACACAAGGTGAGAGGGCGAGGTGCACACGGTCAGAGGAGATGTGAGCAGCAGAAGGTATATTCCCTTCTGTGGCACATGGCGTGGGTGAGCCAGATGTTCAACCTGCGCCACGTGTACTTCAACTCACGCGGACAGGCATTCAATGACTCGTTCCTCTATGACCGAAATGGCTGCGGCAGCGAGCACAAGGTGAGAGGAGAGGAACACAAGGTGAGAAGTGTGGGGAGCAGGAGGTAAAGTATCAGCCCTCCCCTTCGATGGCAGAGCACAATGTGAGAGGAGAGGAGCACAAGGTGAGAGGAGAGGAGCAGGAGGTAGAATTCATTCCCTTGTGTGGCACTTCGCGTGGGTGAGCAAGATGTTCAACCTGCGCCACGTGTACTTCAACTCGCGCGGACAGGCGTTTAATGATTCGTTCCTCTACGATAGAAATGGCTGCGGCAGCGAACACAAGGTGAGAGGAGAGGAGCACAAGGCAAGTCCTATTCCCTCTTGTGGCATTGGCATGGGTGAGCCAGATGTTCAACCTGTGCCACATGTACTTCAACTCGCGTGGGCGGACGTTCAATGGCTCGTTCCTCTACGATAGAAATGGCTGCGGCAGTGAACACAAGGTAAGGGGTGTGTGGAACATAAGATGAGAAGAACTGTGTATAGCATAACGTACAATAATTTCCCTCCCTTCTCTGTAATTGCGAGGAGAGCACAGCTCCCTCCCTTCTCTGTAATTGCGAGGAGAGCACAGCTCCCTCCCTTCTCTGTAATTGCGAGGAGAGCACAGCCGTTGAAAGCCCACTCCCTTCTCTCCCCTCCCTCCCATCCCTCCCTTCCTTTCCCTCTCCTCCCTTCCATCCGCCCCTTCCCTTCCCCCATGCCACCCCCATCTGACAGTTCGACATCCCCTCAGGCACTCGAGTCACGGTGTACGACAGGATAATAAACCTGGCGCATTGGAACGCGTACCAGTACTACCACGGCATTCTCGAGCTCGTCCCCACCCCTTCTCTGCTTCCCACCCCTTCCCACCCCTTCCCACCCTTTCCCACGCCTTCCTGCATGCCACCTCTTGTTACAGTTCGACATCCCCGAGGGCACTCGAGTAACTGTGTATGATAAGATAATAAACCTGGCGCATTGGAACGCGTACCAGTTCTACCACGGCATCCTCGAGCTCGTGCCCGTCTTCTCCATGCTCTCCAAGGCGCCGCACCTGCTGCGCGCGCTCACTCCCTTCCCTCCCTAACCTTGTTCCCTACCCCCTACCCGCATCCCTCCACGTCCCCTCTCCCCCACCCCTCCCCCCCGCCCCTTCTTGTCTTGTTCTGCTCCCCACCCTGTGCCAGTTCGACGTACCCTCAGGTACAAGAGTCACAGTTTATGACAAGATAATAAACCTGGCGCATTGGAACGCGTACCAGTTCTACCACGGCATCCTCGAGCTCGTCCCCGTCTTCTCCATGCTCTCCAAGGCGCCGCACCTGCTGCGCGCGCTGCCCATCGCCGTGCAGTACCTGCAGATGGACTTTTTGGAAAAGCTGGGGACGTTTTTCATCGGCATGGATATGGTGCACATGGATCTGAGGGTTGTACCAGACGACGAGGTGTTCTTCGCTCACCAAGTGCTTCAGGTAAGCCACCTCTCCTGCGCGCGCTGCCCATCGCCGTGCAGTACCTGCAGATGGACTTTTTGGAGAAGCTGGGGACGTTTTTCATCGGCATGGATATGGTGCACATGGATCTGAGGGTTGTACCAGACGACGAGGTGTTCTTCGCTCACCAAGTGCTTCAGGTAAGCCACCTCTCCTGCGCGCGCTGCCCATCGCTGTGCAGTACCTGCAGATGGACTTTCTTGAGAAGCTCGGAACTCTCGTCATTGGCATGGACATGGTTCACATGGACCTGAGGGTTGTACCAGACGACGAGGTGTTTTTCGCTCACCAAGTGCTGCAGGTACGGCTGTCAGGGTTTTGGGTTTAGGCAGCACCTGCTGCGGTCGCTGCCCATCGCCGTGCAGTACCTGCAGATGGAATTTCTTGAAAAGCTGGGAACTTTCGTCATTGGCATGGACATGGTTCACATGGATTTACGAGTGGTGCCGGATGATGAGGTGTTCTTCGCTCACCAAGTGCTTCAGGTACGACCCCCCCATTCCACCACACTGACGCACCAACACACCAAAGCACCGAGCCAAGGCGTCGCACCTCCTGCGGTCGCTGCCCATCGCAGTGCAGTACCTGCAGATGGACTTTCTCGAGAAGCTGGGGACGTTCTTTATTGGCATGGATATGGTGCACATGGACCTGCGGGTGGTGCCGGACGACGAGGTGTTTTTTGCTCACCAAGTGCTGCAGGTATGCCACGGTGCCACCTGTCCTGCGCGCGCTGCCCATGGCTGTGCAGTACCTGCAGTGCAGATGGATTTCCTGGAGAAGCTGGGGACGTTCTTCATTGGCATGGATATGGCATTGGCTGGGGACGTTATTCATTGGGGACCTGCGGGTTGCACCGGGTGATGATGTGTTCTTCGCCCTCCACGTGCTACAGGTATGTCCATTTCGCTTGCTGCAAGCATGCCTGTGCTCACACATGTTGGGTTCGCTCGCACCGAGGCATGGCGCATGCATCATGAGTCATGTTCTTCATCGGCACGGCATGGATATGGTTCACATGGACCTGAAGGTGGTGCTGGATGATGAGATGTTTTTCGCCCATCAAGCGCTGCAGGTATGCCGCCTGTGCTTGCACTGAGGCATGCTGCATGAGTCATTTTCTTTATCACCCTGGATATGGTTCAAATGGACCTACGGGTTGAGTTGGACATTGTGGTGCTTCTCGCTCACCTGGTGCCGCGGGTACGCCGCCTGTCCCGTGCTCTCCAACGTTCCGAGCCAGCCAAAACACCCGGAACGTTGGAGAAGTCTAGGGTAAGGGGTTTGGGGTTCAGGGTTTGAGGTCTAGGCTGCACATGCTGTGGTCGCTGCCCATCACAGTGCAGTTCCTGCAAACGGACTCCCTCAAAGTACTCACTCCCTACTGCGAAGGGACCCAGCACAGCCCAGTACTCCCTTCCGTGGATCGCCTGTGCCGCAAAACACACAATGCCAACGCACAATGTCAGGACGTCTTTCATTGGCCTGGAGATGCTGGACACAGGCCGGCCTGAGGGTGTTTCGACTTTTGAGGGTGGTGCATGCGCCTGAGGGCAGTGTGGGTAGCCCAGTCCATCGCTCGCTCGGACCCCCAACACCAACACTACCTCCCTTCTATCCCCGTCACCCCACGCTTCCCCCCTTCCACCCACTTCACCCCACAATTCGCCCCTCTACACTCCCTCACTCCACACTTCCGCCTTCCCCCCTTCTCTTGCCCCCACCAGCCCTACTACCAGTGCTACGGGCGCCCCAATCGCTCCCTCTGATCCCCCACTCTCACCTCCATCCAAATTCTCGCCCGAGCTGTCCCCCTCTTCAATTCCCCCAAAACCCCCACTCCTCCTTTTCCTCCTTCTGCCCCCACCAGCCCTACTACCAGTGGTGTGGGCGGCCCAGTCGCTCCCTCTGGCGTCACTTCCGTCGGCTGTATCTGCTGCCGCCCGATGGCCTCCCCATGTTCCTCCCTGATTGGACCCCGCGCGTCAACAGTGCCATGCAGTCATACTCCATCGGCTTCCCAGGTGAGGCTGATTTGGGCTGACCAGCGTTGACTAGCGTTGACCAGCGTTGACCTCCATGTGCCTCCCCGAATGGACCCCGCACATCAACAGCGCCATGCAGTCAGGCCTTCCCAGGTGTGCTTGATCCGGTGCTCTCAGAAATCGGTGCTCTTTTGTGCGTTCCCAGTCACTGCTCCCACTGGCTGGTGGTGGTGGTGGTGGTGCTGGCACAGCGATACAACACGCGGGCGCTGGAGCAGCATGGGGAGGTGGAGGAGCTGCTGTGTGTGTGTGTGTGTGTGTGTGTGTGTGTGTGTGTGTGTGTGTGTGTGTGTGTGTGTGTGTGTGTGTGTGTGTGTGTGTGTGTGTGACTTGTGTGTCCTGTGCCCGCATATCTCCTCTCATTCCTGTGATCTCGCTTCTCTACAATGTCTCTTCCCAGGTGCGCCTGCGGACTGGGTGGTGGTGCTGGCACAGCGATACAACACGCGGGCGCTGGAGCAGCACGAGCAGGTGGAGCAGCTGCTGTGTGCGTATGCTGCGTCCTCATACATACCTCTTCTCATTTGTGCTGACTTATCCACTGTCTGCTGTGCTGTCGGTTGTCTGCTCTCTTCCCAGGTGCGCCTGCGGACTGGGTGGTGGTGCTTGCACAGCGCTACAACACGCGGGCACTGGAACAGCATGGGGAGGTGGAGCAGCTGCTGTGTGTGTGTCCCCTGTGCCCTCATATCTCTTCTTATTCCTGTATTGTCGGTTCCCCATTGTGTGTTCCCAGGTGCGCCTGCTGACTGGGTGGTGGTGTTAGCACAGCGATACAACACGCGCGCAGGTGGAGCAGCACGAGCAGGTGGAGCAGCTGCTGTGTGTGTGTCCCCTCTGCCCTCATATCTCCTTTCATTCCTGTGATGTCGCTTCTCACTCTACAATGTCAGGTGCACCTGCGGACTGGGTGGTGGTGCTTGCACAGCGCTACAACACGCGGGCACTGGAGCAGCATGGGGAGGTGGAGCAGTTGCTGTGCGCTCTCTTCCCTCGGGAGCGGGTGGTGGTGTTTGACGGCAGCCTGCGCATTGCTGATGGTGAGCGGGAGATAGGGAGGGCAGGTGGGATTATCATGGGCTAAGATTCAATGTGGGATCTGATGTGGAGTGATTGAGAGCGGCAAGGAGTGTGTGGGGGGGGGGGGGGGTTCCATGGGTTGTGATTGAGCGTTGGGGTCTGATGAAGCAGCATGGGATATATACAGTGGCACTGGAGCAGCACGAGCATGTGGAGGAGCTATAATTTGGGCCTATCAACCTCCTGCTCGATTTCTTACCACCTAACCATCTCCTTTCTCCCTGCCCTGCAGCCAAGGCTCTGTTCAACCGAGCCAGAGCCACGTCACGTGCTCTTCATTGCAGCGCTCACCAACGCCATCTTCATGCCGTTCAAGTCAACCCCCTCCTATCTCCCCCACCTCTCTTGCAGCCAAGGCTCTGTTCAATCGAGCTGTTCTTTTCGTGGCCGCACACGGGGCAGCCATCACCAACGCCATCTTCATGCCTTCCTGCCAACACCCCCCCAAGCTTCCCCAATCTTCCCCAATCTCCCTTACCTTGCAGCCAAGGCTCTGTTCAATCGGGCTGTGCTCTTCGTGGCCGCGCACGGGGCAGCGCTGACCAACGCCATCTCCACACCTTCATGCCAACAACCCTACCACCCTTCCCCTTGAATCTCTCTTCCATGCAGTCAAGGCTCTGTTCAATCGGGCGGTGCTCTTCGTGGCCGCGCACGGGGCAGCGCTGACCAACGCCATCTCCACACCTTCATGCCAACAACCCTGCCACCCTTCCCCTTGAATCTCTCTTCCATGCAGCCAAGGCTCTGTTCAATCGGGCGGTGCTCTTCGTGGCCGCGCACGGGGCAGCGCTGACCAACGCCATCTTCATGCCGTTCAAGTCGGTCCTGCTTGAACTGCGCCCCAGGGACTTTCACAAGGCGTGCTATCACCACCTGGCCGAGGTGTGCGACCTGCAGTACTTGCTGCTGCTGTGTGATGGGGCCAAGGATACCCCACTTTCATGTGACATGAATGAAGTGAGAAGTCTGCTGGAGGAGGTGCGAGGGCGTGTGGATAAGGTGCTGGAAGAGGGGCCAGAAGTGCAGCTGGAGGAGGAGGAAGAGCAGCGTTGATCGGGGTTGACTGCTTGAACTGCGCCCCAGGGACTTCCACAAGGCGTGCTACCACCACCTGGCGGAGGTGTGTGACCTGCAGTACCTCCTCCTCTTGTGCGATGGAGCCAAGGACACGCCTCTGTCGTGTGATATGGGTGAAGTGAGGAGTCTGCTGGAGGAGGTGCGAGGGCGTGTGGATAAAGTGCTGGAAGAAGGGCCGGAGGTGCAGCTAGAGGAGGAGGAAGAAGGGCAGCGTTGACTTGCGTTGACTGGCGTTGACTGGCGTTGACTGGCGTTGACTGGGGTTGACTTGGCAGCTGGGGCGTGCTAGCACCACCTGGCGGAGGTATGTGACCTGCAGTACTTCCTCCTCTTGTGCAATGGAGCCAAGGGCACGCCTCTGTCGTGTGATATGGGTGAAGTGAGGAGGGTATTGGAGGAGATGCGAGGGCGTGTGGATAAGGTGCTGGAAGAAGGGCCGGAGGTGTAGTTGGAGGAGGAGGAAGAGCAGCGTTGACCGGGGTTGACCAGCGTTGACCAAGGTTGACTGCGCCCCAGGGACTTCCACAAGGCGTGCTACCACCACCTGGCGGAGGTGTGTGACCTGCAATACCTCCTGCTGCTGTGTGAGGGGGCTAAAGACACGCCACTTTCGTGTGATTTGAGTGAAGTGAGGAGGGTACTAGAGGAGGTGCGAGGGCGTGTGGATAAAGTGCTGGAAGAAGGGCCGGAGGTGCAGCTGGAGGAGGAAGGAGAAGGGCAGTGTTGACCAGCTTTGACCAGTGCTGACCGGCGTTGACCAGCGTTGACTGTGGTTGACTTGGCAGATGGGGCGTGCTGCCGCTACCACCACCTGGCGGAGGTGTGTGACCTGCACCACCTTCTTCTGCTGTGCGATGGAGCTAAGGACAAACCGCTGTCATGCAATTTGAATGAATTGAGGAGGGTATTAGAGGAGGTGCGAGGGCGCGTGGATACAGTGCTGGAAGCGGGGCCGGAGGTGCAGCTGGAAGGGGAGGGGGAAGGGCAACGTTGACCAGCGTTGACCAGTGTTGACTTGTCAGGAGAGAGTGCTGACAGCGGGGCCACAGGTGCTTCTGGGGGAGAAGGGGGAACAGCAGCATTGACCAGCGTTGGCCGTGTTACTGACTAAGACTGCCATCCATAAATGAACGAATGACTGCGATTTCCGCTGCTACGGCCATGTGGTGGTACGGTAAGTTGCCCTGTGCTCATACATATTTGCACAACCCTGCTGTAGTTTTTCATTTGTATTTTTGCGATTATCTTCTTGCAAAGTTAGCAACTTCAATCATTACATTCGACGTGGTCTTGCCTCAGTGGCACAGATGCTTCTGAGCACCGCACATCTGGTAGTTTTCTCTCGGTGTTTCCACTGTGTCGCTTTCTCTTCATCGCCACATGTCATCTCTTTGCTTGTTGATGCTTTTTTATCAGGGCCGTGGGATGGGGTATTTGTCAGGTGAGCTATACCGAGTAAAACAGCAGCTGCAATGCAACACACGCGCCACACGCCATTCAAAGGCCGTCGGTACATTCAAGGAGGCTACAAATCGACCAAGAATGCATTAACTTGGGGAGGCCTTCTACCATGGGTGAAACTCTGAATGGGCCATGTTCCGGAACCAGATAATAAACTCTGTTTACTGTTGGAAGGCTGTCGATGCATTGCTTGCTACTGGGTATTAGTGACTAGTTTCTAGTTAATTTATTTTCTCTGTTTTACAACTTCGGAACCTTAGCTTTTAGCGAGAGTTTAAACAGCACTTGCGTAACAGGCTGTCATCCTATCTTGAGAAGTTTGTTGCGAAGTTGGTGCTGGGATGACGTGGCGATGGCACCAGGCTCGCTGCCACGTCGTTGTATGTCAGCCAGATGTTGAACCTGGAACCTTGCATCCACACCGTCGAACTTCCCCCAACCAGAGCCCCCGCTTCCGCTGCGCCACCCCCGTTGCCCTTGCCCAACATCACTTCGTATCATCCTCCGACATCCCACAACCGTCATCCCCGCACCACCCCATCCCACTCTTTCGTAAGTAACACTTAACGACACTTACGAGGAACACGGCTAAGTGGTAGCCTTCCCCCTGGCCCCTCTCTCCCAGCCACTTGGTCGTTCCAGTACTCGAAACCCTAATTTCACCATCCTGAATTTCATTAGAGTTTAGCAAGCCTCACGTAAGTGTGTGACAAGGTACATTCGCATCACCTCGCTTGGCCTCCTAACTCAAGGTTTCGGGCTTCGGGCTTCACAGTTCCTAGGTCGTTATATCGCTGCCTGCTTGAAGCCGCTTAGTCTGCAGCCATGGCGACTCTCCGCTGCGACGCGTCCGTCCTCGGCGCCGTATCTTCCGCTGCTTTTGCTGGCCGTCAAAACCTTCAGGTTAGCGCCTTTTTTAGCTTCCAGTATAAGCTAAGGTAGTGCTATATGGTTGCCATCGAGCGTATGAATGCAAAAGACTATGGTCTGACGGTATTTAGCCAGATTATATATTATCTGTTCCGCGTTTATGCGCATTCGTGTATCCGGACTTCTTCGTTTAATACGCTTTGGTCCCAGACAATGCGGCGACGTACCCTTTCAGTCAACGCATTTATCACTCGGTCAGGCTTTCAGCGGCCCCTCTTATTTCCGCCTCGAGTCACCCTGGGATAATCGCACGCGTAACGCGGCGATTCACGCGGGGTGTGCAAGGAAGAAAGAATTGACTCTATTTTCCTGTTAGAGCCGATTAGGAGCGAAATTTGTACTCTCGTGTTATTTGTTACACCTTCACAGGCGCATCGCGGCGAGGCGCGCGTGGTGTGCAAGACGGAGTGACTTGACTCCGATTTTCACTTATGATGGACCCAGAATTGTGCTTCAGTGCATCTAATTTCCCTTCATTTCGCGAACTTCCATCGCGCAGGCGCAACGCGGCGAGGCGCGCGTGGTGTGCAAGAAGGAGGGCATCCACCCCAAGTTCTATAAGGAGTCGAAAGTGTTTTGCAATGGCGAGGAGGTGATGACCACCATGGGCACGCAGGAGAAATACGTCGTCGACGTTTGGTCAGGTAAGGCCGTCGTGCAACAAGGCCACCTAAGGTTCTATAACGAGTATGAAGTGTTTTGCAATGGCGAGGAGGTGATGACCACCATGGGCACGCAGGACAAATACGTCATCGACGTCTGGTCAGGTAAGGCCGTCGGGCATTCACCTTGAGCCCTATAACGAGTATAAAGTGTCCTGCAATGGCGAGGGGGGGGTGGCTATTGTGGCCACGCAGAGGATTTCGTTGTCCACATCTTGTCAGTTAACGTCGTTTTAAATGGGCAGGCTAGGCTGACGGCTCGTCAGATAACCTGTCGGTTAGGCTCACGTCTCGTGACGTCTAGTTGGTTAAGGTGACGTTTTGTCAGGCCCGGTTTGCTTCTAGAGTAGCTTCCATGTGCGGACATCTGAAAAGTTGAGCTGGTGTCCAATCGTGTGAGCTGACGCGGAGCTCGAGCTTCACGACACGACCTAGTAAGCTTAGATAAGGCCGAGCATCAAGTTGCGATGATAAGGATGGGGGACTAGTCTCTAGATATGATGCTAGCAACAAGTGGTGATTGCGGTATGCAGTTATTGGGCGTTTTCGAATCAGTATTTCACGCAGTGCGTTCCGTTGGAGTGTGGAGAGACGTTCGACGCATTTTTCCGTTACAGAGTCGAGAAAGGCTCGACGATCGCTGTTCCGTTGTAGAGAATAAGGAAGCACTGTTTTCAGGGGAGTGGGAAAACGGTTCATCAGTTGTCTTTTTGAGACGTCTCAAGAGATTCCTGTAACGCCTGTTTCCAGGTGGAATGACTGTGAGTGATAGAAATGACTTTTGAGTCGACTCAAAGTCACCTCGTTTCATCAGTTATCTGAGCTTCCTGTAACTCCTGTTTCCAGGTGGAATGACTGTGATAGCTCGTTTTTTTCTTATCCTGGCATTTTCCCACTCTCCCCGGCGCTCCTGCCCATTCAGTCAACCGTCCCTTGCTCCATGACAGCAATCCGCAAACCCTGATATAGGCAGGCCCGCGGACAAGCTCGCTCTTTCGTTTTTTCCATTCCCCTTATCGAGTTCTGGGACTATTTCAGAAGCCCCCTTGTGCCATCGAAATCTGACCTTGTGCACTATGGGGGCAGTAAGAACACACGTTGCTGACACAGGCAGTCTTAATGGAGACTTGCTGAGTCCTGTGCGTTCCTACTCGCTACTTTCGTTTATCCTGCTTGCAAGCTGCAACTACCTGCTGCTGCTGCTGCTGCAGGGTATCTTGGCATGCTGCTGACGTTTGTGGGGGCAAGTGTACAGTTCATTACTCCTGTGCGTGTGCCAAGTTTCTCTCATCTCCCCATTACGCCGCCCCTTCCCTCCAGGCAACCACCTGCTGTTCCAGGGCAGCAAGAACACGCTGCTGACAGAGGCCGGGCGAATCTACACGTGAAATTTCCTGTCCCTGTATACTGAAATCCCCTTCCCCCCTCTTGCCCCCTCTTTCCCACCCCACCCACCCCCCCCCCCCCTCCCCCCCCTCCCTCCCCCCCCCCCCCACACCCCTCACACCCCTCCTCTCTGCCTGCAGGCAACCACCCGCTGTTCCAGGGCAGCAAGAACACACTGCTGACGGAGGCGGGGCGAGTGGACAAGTTCAACCAGCGGTACGGCGCGCTCGGCACCATGTCCAAGATCCCCATCCTCGATAAGGGCGAAATCGTTATTATTAAGAAGTCCAAGGGGCCGGCGAAGAAGGGCGGCAAGAGATGAGCAGCAGCCGTGGGAAGGGGGATGGTTGAAAAAGGAGGAGTTGAGAGGGATGGGGATGGAAGTTGGATGGATGGTACATACCAGAATTTGAGGACGGGGCTTTGATGTCGATGGATTGTCATGTTGGGCTGAGAAAAGCCCTTAGGATCTTTGCAGGACTAAATTCTGAGTAGGAACAATGTAATAGCGGAAGCGTTTTAATGATAAGTCTGTGAACCACCTTGCGCTGGTATATGAGGGCAAAGTAGATTAATTAAAACAAGGGGATACAAGGTTTTATAAGAGTACAAGGAATATGAAAAGATGCAACTAATAACTGTTTTACTGTTTGCTGTTGCGGTTCGGTACAGTGACGACTCGGGCAACTGCTCAATAGCGAGTCAGTTGTTTGTCCTTGCTGTCGCGCTGTACTTGTCAGGTCAAAGGTCGCTGACCTTTGACTTTCGCGTAACCTCC